TGGTATCAGCAGGGAGCTGGCTCTGTGTCTGCCTGTCCCTCCCCCATGTAACCGCTGACACTTTCAAGAGTTACATGATTACTTAAATGCCTTTTAACATCCCCGGACTCTGGAACTTCAGTAGGGCTGTCACACAAGTGTACATGGGAAGAATGAGTATTAGTGGCTGCTGCTGGAGGTTAGATTTATGACCCACCCCAAAGAGCAGAGCACTTAAGAGTTTACGACTTCCAGCAAAAGCTCTTTTAGCTCTGAAACAGTTTGAACTTTGGGGGGATTGCCCCTGCACTCACTGGTAGGAAGTGGATCGATGTGGCTGGGGGAGCAGAGTGAGCTAGAACCATGTTCCCACACTTCCCTTGACCCTGGGAGAAGAAATGGGGCGGGGGCAGAGCAAGGGCAGGGAGAGGCAAGGCTTGGGCTGGAGGAGAGTTGTCCTGGTCCTTCCCTGGACTGGGGGGAGGGTCATGTGGCCTGTGACACACTCCCATGTGCTCCCTCACCAGTTGCTACTGGTCCCCACATATAGTGACCGGTTAGACCCTGAGTGTGTAAGCAAGAAGCAGCCAGCCAAGTACTTGAGACAAAAAGAATGTTTTGTCACCTCAGAGCACTAGCTCTCCCACTCTAGTGTCCCATCTCCAGCCGTGGCCATCTCTGATGCTTCAAAGGAATACGATAAACTAAAACATTGTGGGTAGTGGGAATCCCTCTCTATTCTTTATGTCTGGTCATTTGTTATCTTCAAAGCATTGTTCCGAGATTTTCTCTGTGTTTCAATTTGTTTTCCTTAGTTGCTCTGTAACATCTAGCAACCAAGTGTGCTTTATTAAGTATATCTTTTGGTTTGTAATAAAAATCACTATTTTAAGGTGACAATTTGAATCTTGTGTCCTGGAAGGTACATGAGATCTGTCTGTCTCTGTGTGTCAGCATGCCTCAGACTGCAGCTTGTTTTCCTCTTTTCTTTTTTTCAAGCGTTTGTAGGGCAAATGAACTTGGGGAACTCCTGTGGGTGAATTCAAGTGTTCATGCTGGGTTTTAGGAATAAAAATCACTTGATGGTGGCAGCTACCCCCCAAAATCTGTGCATTTATGATTCTGGGGGAAGTTTTTGTAACCAGTGCCTGTAGTGGCAAGGTATATTTAAAGTCTTTGCAGGCCCCCAGCTTCTGCATTCGGAATGCCAGAGTGGCGAGTGGCCCTGACACCATTACTGCAATGAAGTTCAGATCCAGCCAGCTCCCTGCCCCTAGAACTGAAAACTGAAATTAGCCAGGGGACTCTGACTCCTTCCTCTTTATCTCCTTTGCATTGTCACATTCCCCTCCCCCCCCCCCCTCCATTGCTGCCTCCTATGCAGACAGCTGCTCCACACAGTAGGTGAAAGTGTTCATCTATAAGCACAAGGAAGCTGACATCACAAGGAAGCTGCTCCAGGTGACATCAGCAAGCACTGCAGGGGCTCAGAATCAGTAACCTGGGATTGAGGCAAATATACATGGCTTTGAGCATCTTCTGCTTCCACCAAAGTCATTTGGCTCAATGTGGGTTCTGAAGAGGGGCTGAAGAGGGCAGTGGATCAATTTAGGGAGGCTGGTGCCTGGCTAGGAAATGGTCTTCTGCTTCTATCCCCATGTAATACAGAAACTGCTCTTAAGCAGGCACCCCCTTGGGTGTGGCTCCCGAGGCAGGGTATCTGGTAGAAATACACAGCCATGTATTGCACAACAGCTGGCTCTGGGCCAGCCCTCCATGATACTGTGTATGACACCCACAAGCCTGACCTGCTCCTGAGACTATCAGTTTCAGCAGGCTGACTAACACCCCTGGGTTTCGAAGGGTTACGTCTTTGTCGGGGGATACTTCCTGGTTTGCTACCTTCCTGGAAGGGATTGAGATGTGAGGGGCTTGTGAGGGAGCAAGTGAAGGAGGCAGGGGAGGGAGTTAAGGCTTTTATATGAAGGAGCCATGTACATTGTGGTTTGCATGTACTCAAAAAATAAATCATAGGAACAGATCTTCCACAACTGGGCTGCAAGAACCGTACACAGTAGAGGGAATAAGAACGGCAGACTTGCAATCTGAAAGGTCTTTAGAAAACAGCAGAGAGAGCACAGGATCTGTGAGTACAGTACTAAATCTGATTTGTCAGTTTAATAATGTGTTCATTTTTTTCATTGTATTCCTTTGGGCTGTGTCTACACTGCATCCCTTTTCCGGAAAAGGGATGAAGATTAGACCAGTCGGAATTGCAAATCCGCGGGGCATTTAAATACCCCCCCGCGGCATTTGCATTTACATGGCTGCCGCTTTTTTCCGGCTTGGGGATAAGCCGGAGAAAAGCGCCAGTCTAGACGTGATTCTCCAGAAAATAAGCCCTTTTCCGGAGGATCTTTTATTCCTACTTTCAAGAATCTTGCCAGTCTAGATGCACCCGTAGTGTTTTTAGGAATATAAAAGAACAGGGCATGGGAGATCACACTTCCCCCGCTACAAACACTGCATCCTGGTGGTTAAGGCTGGATCCTAGAGGGGAAGAGACCAACTGATGTGAAAAAGACCCAGCAGGAACCAGGACCAAGCTACCATGGGTTTTGCTAATGTATCAGAAATTGGTATGTAACATGCCCAGTCTGGAAAACAGAATTAAGACTAGATCTACAGTCAGAACGATTTACAGGGAGTATTCCTTATTCCAGCCTCCTCGAGCAAAACAATCTCTACCCATCGATGCACAGGTTTGCATCTACACTAGTGACTTTTGCCAACATAGCTATATGTCGATCACAGATGAGATCTCCTCACATCTCTGACCAACCTATCTATGCTCACAGCAGCTTCTGTAGTGTAGACATGGCCTAAGAGCTGGGAGGGAAGAGGCTCTGTGAATGGTCGGAGAGGAAGATCAAAGAGTTAGGGGAGAGGAGCTGAAAAATGTAGGTGAATCCCTGTTTCATTTTTTCTAAGCCATCCCTGATCTTAAGAGATTAAAAATAAGCAAGTTCGGGGATTTGTCCCCTTTTTTTCACCTGCTCTGTAAATAAAGAGCAGTGGAGGTGAATGGCAGTGGATAGAGTTTCAATATAAATAGGCCCCAGACATAATTTTAAAATCTGGCTCCAGATCAGAGTTTCCCCAAAGTTTTGGAGTATTTGGAGAGATTCAGTCAATCCCACTGCACCCACCTGTTGTTAAGCCGTAACCTCTGACTATATGGACACAGCATAGTTTGAGGACCTTAACTCTGAACATCATGGCTTCGGCTCTCAGTTCATGCTTTTGTATTTAATGACCTCCTTTAATTCATTCATTTTTAAGAGACCCAAAAAAGAGGTGCTGAAGGCATTTGGATCCCTGAAACTGTTACCAAGTAAATGCCTTCCCTCAGCTCATCAGAGTTTAGCTGCACACAAAAGGGGTACTGCTTTAACAATTCCATTATTGTTAAACTGTACAACCTCCCTATTGTGGCTGCAGTGATATGAAGCTGTTTTATGCTGGCACAGCTCTTCTCGTACATGAAGGGGAGTCAGCTAAACAAGTCTAATTGGGGGTTTTCTCCTTTTTGCTCCACTCATCTGAAGAAATGGGTGCAATGAGTCTGGTTTAAAAAGTTACTCCTTACCAAAATAAGTGACACTGGTACAAAACACACTTGTGTGAGAGAGATCCACATATCCCCAGATTTGATAGGGTTTTGCGGAAGGTGGAAATAAAGTTTTTTCTGATGCTTTGATTTACTAGCTGGCTGGGTTCCTTTCTCATGCATAGGTGTTTACTTCTATGCTGCTGAAGGGGGTTGGTGTGTTCCTATACATCTAATTAATTGAGTAGCCAAGAACTTTTCTAGTTCTTGACAATCAATTATCTGCACCACTCCCCACCAGCGTGTGTGGTACCCCACAAGGCACTACTAGCTCCACGTGTGCCACAGGGATAGAGGCGCCAGCAGCAAGTCTGCAAGAGAAGGGAGCTGCGAAATGAGCCTTTCGCAGGGGCAGGGCCTCTCCAGCGGCTTTCACCTGCTGCCAGGAGGAAGGCGAGAGAGGGGAGGGGCCAAGGCGAGATAATCTCGTGTGATCGCAGAGAGAGAGACCTGGCCACACCTTGAAACTACCTGAGCCCAAGGGGGAGAGGAAAACTCCAGACAAACAAGGCAGGGAGGCGAAAAGGGGAACGACGGCCCAGGGCCCCAGTGGTGGGGTGATCACAGGGGAAGGAAAAACAC